CACATATTCTCAAATACTTTAAATCATCTCTAGATTACTTGTAATATCTAATACAATGTAAATGCTACTTGAATAATTGTAAATACAACATAGTTCAGTTCAGTCGTTTAGTCGTGTCCGACTGTTTGCGACCCCATGAACCGCAGTTCGCCAGGCCTCCCTGTCCATCACCAACTCCTGGAGTCCACCCAAACCCATGTCCATTGAGTCGATGATGCCATCCAAATACAACACAAATGCTATTTAAATAGTTGTCAGAATACAGCAAATTCAAGTTTCGCTTTTTGAGATTTTATGGAATTTTTTTCCTGAATATTCTTGATCTGTGGTTGGTTGAATCCACAGAGGCAGAACCTGCAAATATGGAAGGCCAGCTGTGTTTGGTTTTGATTTGAACCCTGTTAACAGCTTCCATATTTTAAAATTAAGGTGGGGGAAACCCTAAAATTGAATAGATAGAAACATATTGATGTAACTATGTATCCATTTGATAACATAACCACACAGAAGAAAAATTAAGAATTCAAGTAATTTGAAAATACAGTGTTCTGTACATATTTAGTGGAATATATGGAAGAATAAAAATTTTGAACTATATTTAGTAAAACTTGTGCTTGGTAGTAGTATTGGCACAGGAATTACGGAACTAGTTTGTGTTTAATGGAGATTAGGCAAATATACTAATGCTACTAAGAATAGAATTCTCACTGTAGTGAAGGAAAATACTAATACAGAACAGGGAGGAAACAGAAGAACTGAATTGTTGGATTACTTTGTGGTTACCAGATAAATGCATGACTTTGTGAAAGCTATTTCTTAGCTCTGAGAACTGACAAGGCCTAGAAGCTGTGACTTCAGGAGCCTTGAGCACACCTAGAGTGTGTGCACTCAATTGCTCAGTCGTGTCTTACTCTTCCTGGCTCCATGGACTGTAGCTCATCAGGCTCCTCCAGTCCACGGGGTTTCCCAGGCAAGAACACTAGAGTGGGTTGCCATTTCCTTCTCCAGGGGGTCTTCCCAACCCAGTGATCAAACCCGTGTCTCTTATGTCTCCTCATTAGCAGGCGGACTCTTTACCACTGAGCCACCTGGGAAGCCCTAAGCACATCTAGCACCCAGATCTTAAATTCTAAATACCATTCCCCACTAAAAGAAAAAGGGAATCTAATGAGTCCAAGGCTGAGGCAGGAAAGGTACAAAATGAGTCCAGAACATCTTTCTATGCCAGCAAGGAGTGAAGTGCTCAAAACTGAAGCTTGGAGGAGTTCCCAGTGACCAAATTCAGAATCACCAAGCATCAGAATGGATAATGACAGGAATGCTATCTTAAATGATACCCATGAGTCCTTACTAGTACTAAAACATAAAATAAAAAAGGAGGTGCAAAAGCTCTTTGTTACTGAAGATTGTCAATAAAGTATATAGACAAATACGGATAGGAAATTGCCATCTGCAACAATTTAGTGATAATGGACTCGGGGAGGAATGGTCACTAGGCGCTAAAACACTGGATGAAAGACTGTTGGAGAACAGGATATTCAATCTCTAAGTGTTACTTAATGAATCACATGTTACAGACATAACTCATTTTATTATGCTGCATTTTATTGCGCTTTGTAGATACTGTGCTTTTTACACAAACTGAAGTTTTGTGGCAACTCTGCATTGTCATAGTAGTCAGCATTTTTTTAGCAATAAAATATTTTTTTAATTAAGGTATGTACAATTTCTTAGACACAGTGCTATGGCATACTTAGACTACAGTATAATGTAAATGTCATTTTTAAATGCACTAGGAAATAAAAAAACTCATATGACTTGCTTTATTGCGATATTTGCTTTATTGAAATGATTAGGAACTGAGCCCACCTAACTTCTATTTACTTGCCTCTACAAGAGAGAAATCTGATGGAACTCACCTTAACCAAACAATCGACATTAACATCTTTGATAATCAGCAAATGGACTGCATCTGCACCCTGATGAGATGCATACCTGTGCTCAGAAAGTCCACATCAGAATTTAAGCATGCACCCCAACACGGAGGGTCATTTTTATAAAACAACTCGTCCAGACCCTTCAAAAAGAGCAATGTCATAAAGTTTAAAAAAGAAAAATGTTGGCAACAGTTTAGATTTTTATATTCAAGAGGATTAAAAAAGCATGGGGCTTCCCTGGTAGCTCAGCTGGTAGAGAATCTGCCTGCAATGCAGGAGACCCTGGTTCAATTCCTAGGTCAGGAAGATCCCCTGGAGGAGGGCATGGCAACCCACTCCAGTATTCTTGCCTGGTGAATCACCACGGACAGAGGAGCCTGGCAGGCTACAGTCCTTGGGGTCACAAAGAGTCGGACAGGACTGGGCGACTAAGTATAACACAGCACAAACAGGCATGAGTACCAAGCTTGATGTATTATCCAGGACTGGCTTCTGGACCCCATCTGAAAACAGTCTTTTATTAATGCTATACTTCCTGACTTCTGAAAATGGTGCCAGGGCTTACTGGAGACATATTATTCTTACAAGACCTATGTTGAAATATTTAGGGTTAAGGTGTTGTAAGAGCTGCAATTCTCAAATGGTTTAGCAAAAAACAACAACAAAAAAGTAACTGGGTAGGTGTGCGTGTTTGTCTCTATAAATAGAGTAAAGTAAACCAAATGTGATAAAATGTTAATGACTGGCGATTCAAGGAGAAAGGCACGCAAGTGTTCACTGTACTGTGTTTGCAACTATTCTAAAGATTTTAAGTTTTCCAAAATTTAAGAAAATTAAGGGAAATTCCATTTCCCTTGTTCTGCACTACTAATCTCTGTATTAGTAAATGTTCACCACCACCCACCAACTACACATTCACTGCTTTCTTTCTTCACTGTCTCTCCCCCACTCTAATAATGCTGACACAGAGCTGACAGTCAGTAAGTATGTGTTGAATGACTGATGCTCACAATCATTCTATGAAGCAGATGTTAGTGTCCTTTCTCTCACGTGTGTGGTGCTCTCTTCAAAGGCAAAGATACAGAGTCACAGAGAAGTGTGGTAACTTACAGAAGTTTTAACTGTGAGGGGCGGGGCCAGGGTCTGAGATCCAATACTGTTCATCACTGTTAGGCAGCTTTCCCCACTGAGACCAGCTTGGTACCCAAAGGGGTCACTATCTGTAGAGATATAGAGTTTCCCTTAGCACAAAGCCTATTCAGAGAAGGTAATATTAATGCTTGCAGAACCAAATGACCTCTGAATAAATAAATGAATTAGGTGGGAGAGACCACCATGAGGGGACTGTTGAGAGAGTCTTCCTAGAAGAGCTGTGGCTAGATGGGTAGACTGAGTTTTCATTGGAAAAGAGCATAGCAACAGGCAGTGGTGGCCAAAGGTGCGTTCTGAGACCAGGGAGAGACCCGCACATCTGAAGGAGTTACCTCATCCATTCAAGCTCGGTATGTGCTTCTTCCTCGTGCTGACATCTGTGGCCTATGAAACCCTCACAGCCTTTGGGGCCTGTGATGGTACCTGTCCTAGCCCCCTCTGCCTCCACTCCCTCTCAACTACAATCTTTTCTCTTCACTGCTGCCAGATTATTCTTAGAGGATGGGTCTGCTCCTGTCAGGCCCAGAAACAGGTCTCCTTTGCCCACAGGAGAGAATCCCAGCTCCCAAAGGGGACTTTCGGGGTACCCCATGGGGCCTCAAGATCCCACCGGCACACCGACTCTCCAGGACACTGATGGCTCCCTACTGCCAAAGTTTACCCTCTACACTCTCCTCCTCTTTCTTTCTTGATCTCCTCCTCCTGGCATCTTTTCCCACATCATGGCATGATACCACCTGTCCTCGGAGGCTAGGTTCAAACTCCTTCCCTTCCAGGAAGTTTCTGCTTCACGGAAGATATTTGCTTTCACCAAAGATGCGGCTGTCTTCCCTCTGCACGCCCGCAGCACTTTATCTTTACCTCTCTTACAACATTTACTTCTGTGCCTTACATTGTAGGTACATTTGAGCATATGTTGAGCTCCACAACCCCCACCCCCACCCAGGTTGTATCCATAGACGCATGCATCCCACAGGCACTCAATACGCTCTGAAGGCAGAGAGGAGAGGAAAGGCTGATCAGGTGTGTGTGCCAAAGGGCCAGAAGGGGGATTCCAAGTACTAGTTAAGGGGGCTGTTACTATGCTCCAGGGGGTTGGCTATGACTTAACGAGCGGCCTGTGTGGGGAGAGGTTGATAATGTGGGAGAGGAGGTAAAAAAATGGAGACAAAGATACCTATCTTGTGGGGCTGTCGTGACGATTTAACTGAAGAAGTGTGAAAAGGATGACCATAGTCCTAGACACTCACACGTTCGTCCTTTTCTGTTCGGAAGGGAGGGGAAGCAGCACTAGCCACACTACTCAGAAACTCCGACTCGAGGCCCTCTGCTTCCTGCTGCGAGGCGATTCTTAACCACCGCCATCAGCCAGGGCGCGGCCGCGGGATAGGCGCGGCTGCACTTGGCTTCGGCCGCGGCGCGCCCACCCCAGGGCAGGAGCCGGCGCGCGCGCACACAGCGCGATCCATTGCCAGTGGCGGCCCGCCCCGGACAAGCTCGCAGGCTGCGGAAGCAGTAAAAAAAAAAAAAGAGATATGCTCAAGTTCTGGACGATGGCGCCTCGGGAAGTAGTAACTTAGTCACTGGAGTCGCGCAGAAAAGGCACCCCTTCCAGAAGAACACGGGGTGGAAGACAAGCGGGGGTCGGGGGTCGTGGGAGTTAAGAAGGATTCCCAAAGGGAGGAAAGAGCGCAGACCTCAGAGCCTGAGGAGCAAGTTTCTTACTGATCACCCTGCGGTCATTTGTGGATGACACGACCTGGTCCCGCGCACGTGCCCCCCGCCACCTTCGCCACCGAACTTGCAGCCGCCTTGGGCCGCGCCCGTCCACCGGGCCCGGAGCCCGGGGGGGGGGCACTGACACCTCGCGCTCCCGGTCCCCGTGGGCTCCCGGAGGGGGCCTCCACTCACCCAATTTGAGGAACAGGCAGACCACTCCAAGGGCCCCCACGGTCCACCCAGGGGCGCTCCCTGCGGCCATGGCGGTCTGGGCAGTTTCTGCTAATGGGCCGCAGCGGCACAACTCGGCCTGGAGGGCCAGCCCCACTGTGCGCCGCGCCCCGCCCCGCCTCGCGCGCCCCGCCTCCCGCGCGGCGGCCTGGCACCGGATGCAGTCTGGGCGCCGCTCCTTTCCTCTTCTCGCGGACTCGGTTCGGGTCCCAGTCGTTCCTGCCATTCCGCCGCCACCCGCTTTGCTCTGTGGAGCTCTTTAGCAAAAGTGGCGTGCGTTTTTACAACCAGGGTTATCCTCGTTCCTCCCGCGCTTTTCCTTGGCATCTGGAGCGCGATGGAGGCGCCCCCGCAGCAGCTGGGGGTATCGGACTGTCGCTTCCCGAAAGCTGCGCCCCACTGGTCGGGAGGTGACAGGAGAACTCTGGTGGGACACGGAGGTTCCGAAGCGCTTTATTCTTTCAGCGCTTTGCAGCAGCTGCAGCCGCGCAGAAGTTTTACCTGCCGGTTAAGACGGTGAAGAACCTGCCCACAGTGCAGGAGATCCAGGTTCGATCCCTGGGTCGGGTAGATTCCCCTGGAGAAGGGAACGGCAACCCGCTCCAGTATTCTTGCTTGGAGAGTCCCATGGACAGAGGAACCTGGCAGGCTACAGACCATGAGGTCGCAAAGAGTCGGGCACGACTGAGCAAGTAGCACACACACTCCCCTTTTATGACTCTAGATAAAACAGCCTCTTTGAACCACTCTTTCCTCAAATATTAAAACGAAAGGAAACGGGACGTGTTAGACAGCTGCTAGAATGTGTAGCATTCCCTGGTGCAGCCCCAGCCTCCCCACCCCTCTCAAGTGCCTATCTTTCCTCATTCCAGTGCAGTCACCTTTTCCTTAAGACTGACTCCCACCCCAGCACTCCCTTACTCGGAGCTGGGATTTCCAGCCTCGGGGTTCTCCCTTCTCCATTTGCTTTGTTTCACTCTTCCTCCTTCTCCACGGTGGACTTGCCCTCAGGCTGAGGAGTCAGAGCTGTTCACTCCCTCAGTGTTTGGCCTCCCCAAATCTCTGTCCCTCAAGCTGCAGTGGGCACTTGCACTCTCCATCTTTTTGGCTAGTCCTCTGGCCTCAAATCCACCTGCTGATTCAGTTACTACTGTATTCCCAGAACCAGCTCCTGGCATGGGCCTCCCTGACAGCTCCCTTTCTTTGAGATAGAAGTGCAAGAGTGACCTCTGCTCAGCCACTGTGGCTCAGGGGACTCTTCCTTACCGTGTGAGCAGGAAACGCCTCCCATGAACTGAACTCATGAACTGGATTCTCTGTTGTCCTAACAAAACCAACCTGTTTGCCAGTTGTGAAAGAGTGGAAATGTGCTTTATTCTTGCTGTGATTGCCATCATCCTCAGGTGGGGACCCCAAAACCACTCAAGATACTTGAACTACACTGTAAGTATCCATAAATTATCTCTTAAATTGGCCATGAAACTGTAAAAGGTGTCTATGTCTGTGAAATTTCTGGGACCAATGTACCATACCTAAGCTACCCTTAGGCATTCCCTGTCATCTGAAGATAACTTGGAACATGAGGCAGGTATAGTGTGTAGCACAGAAAGTGAGACGGTCAAGTTTCTCCTCTACTCTGGGCTGGTAAGAATTCAGTTTAACTTGGAAAGGTAAGATGGAGTCAGACCTTTAAACTCTGGGGAGCCCCTCAAAGGTTTTGAGCTGGGAAGTGATATAACAGCAAACATCCGTTGAGTACTTACCATGGGCCAAGCCCAAGTGCATTACCTGCATTAATTTAATCTTATTGATGTCCCTGTCTTCACAGATTAGGAAACCGAGGCTCAGAGAAGGTAAATGACTTGCCCAAGGACACACAGCAAGGCAGAGAACTGGGAGTCCAACCAACCTTAAGTCTAAAGCACCACTTTTATTTACCCTTTCATATAGAATGGGCAGCTATACTGCTGTTTGGACTGGGCCAGCGAAAGCTGTCAACCCCCTCTGAGCAGGGACCCCCTCTGAGTAAAGGACCACCAAGTCACCTGGGGCTGGGGAGCATCCCCAGGTCATGGTCTCCAGGTACCAAATAAGGAATGGTTCATTAAGTCTTCCTTGGTTGGCCATGTCTCTGGCCAAATGAATGATGTCAGTTCTTTCATTAAGAAACATGCTGTGGTTCCAACAAACATTTTTAGATATACACTTTAGATATATGCCTAGTAGCAGACTTGATAAATCAAATGAGGCTGGACCTGCAATGCATCAAGCAGATGGCCAAAAAGGCCCTATCCATCTACTGAGGACTGGATGTATTTTACATCCTGTGACTGGTGTGGAGAGGTCCAGTTTTATCTGCTTGTCACTGTAAAGAATCATGGACTAGAAGAAAGGAGGGCTTGTTCAGTCTGCTTGTGTGGACTGGATGGGCTGCTGCTCTTCCCAGATTGTCACCCTCTGGTTCTCTGGTTCTAGTTCCTGCCAAACTCGGAACCACACCCAGGAAGCTTAGGAGTCCTAGACAGACAGAGCAAAACACTGCTCCTAATCCTGCATACATGAAAATGGTCCTTGCCCCATGTGGAAGTGTACGTTCACTTTATTTAAATAAACACTGGGCAGATTAGCACCAAGAGGGTGTGTGTATGTGTCGGGGTAATTTTTATTCTGTAATATTCTGTTTCCCTTTTTCAAATGTTCCCCAGCAGAAAAGATAGCGTTAGGAGAAAATTAGGCGAAAATAATACATAAGACTTAACATGGAACCATTCTGGGTGCCCAAGAGATAAACAGTCAGATTTCAACTTCTGGCCAAGCCAGCAGCTGCAAGAAGTTGATAAGCATGCAGCAAATGGGGCTGGGGAGCAGAGGAAAGCACATATTAAAAGCCTTTGAAAGGCCTGAGTTTTAAAAAGAAAAAGAAAAAAAGAAAAAAAAAAAGGAAGTACCTCCTTTTGCTCTTTACCTCCATCTAGTTCCTTCTGCACATTGTGTGAATTTTGAAGAATTACAGTTGGGTTCTGACTAACCATGTGTCGCTGCTGAAGCCTTCATCATGCTGTCATTCTTCCCAATTTGCAGATGTGGAGAACTCCCCCCACCCCCAAACCTCCCATTTGAGTTGTGCAGGGAACAGAGACGGGTATGCTGTGTGGGCTCACTGCATAGGAACCCACAGCTCTTGGGTTTTCTTCTGTCCTGGAAGAGGTGTGCTAAGCATTTTGTGGTCAGGACAGTACTAGAGTTGGAGGGTGGTGAGGTCCTGCTGTCAAGCCCAGGCAGAAGTTTGTCCCCAGCCCCTGCTCTTCTATCAGTTTCCTCTTGCCATGTCCTGTCTCCCCACTTCTACCCCACCCACCCCCACCCAAAAGAAAGCTGGATTCTGAACTGGCCCATCTGGCCTCTGGGTATGTCAAGACGACTCTGGTCTTGACAGTCAGGTTAGATGTCTACGTATGTATGCTTGTGCATGCTCAGTCATGTTGGACTCTTCGTGACCCATGGACTATAGCCCATCAGGCTCCTCTGTCCATGGGATTATCCCAGCAAGAACACTGGAGTGGATTGCCATTTTCTTCTCCAGGGGATCTTCCCAACCCGGGGATTGAAACCGCATCTCTTGCATCTCCTGCATTGGCAGGCAGTTCTTTACCACCAGTGCCACCTGGGAAGCCCTATGTGTGTGTGTGTGTGTGAGTATGTATATATATATGTGTGTGTGTGTGTGTGTATACACATATGTACATACATACACATATTTACTCTGTCAAATATACATATGTATATGTGTGTATGTATATATATATAAATATACATTTTTTAGCAGCCGACAGTAAAGTGTCTTGAGGAAGGGTTGCTTTTTATCCTGTATACAAAGGTGCCACTTGGGCTGGGGGTGGGGTGTGATAATAAAGGCCACAGTTCACAAACCCTGAGTTTAGCAAGCCAATGTCAGAGGTAGAACTCCAGGCCCCCAGGGCACGGTTCCATAGCCAAGAGTGGCTGATTATGTGACGAGAAAGAAGGACAGTGGACTCAGTCAATGTAAACAGCCGTATTTTCAACATAATTTACTACAGGTCTCTGAAGTGTATATAAAACATTTTAGTGCAACATCTTACAAATAGTTTTCCTTTAAAAAAACAAACAAAAAACAAATCAACAGCTCTCTACATCATGCATGGGTAGTGTCTACCCTACTTTTTTTTTTTTTTCTTCAACAGTAAACGCAGAGAAACCATTGTTTGAAAAAAAACGTGAAAACTTGCTACAGAAACCCCCTAGGGAAAGAGGGTGTGGTCATAGCCATGTCCTGGAATGGGCCTAGCACAGTGCTGTTTTTTATTAATACAATATTGTAGATGCAGATAAGCCAACAGAACTGTTGGCCGTTCCTCTCTGGGTCTCTCCTGTAGGCAACTTGCAATGAGGTCTCCCAGCCACTGGAGGCCAGCATTACCACTCAGCAGATGCCACATATCCACAGAAATGGCCAAAAAAGAAGGTCCTTGGGATTTTCATAGAAAGCAGAAAAGCTCACCCTTTGATGGTACCCCCTGGCCCAATAGAAAATGCACAAGGAACAAAAAAAAAAGAATTATCAAAATACTGGCTTCGGTTTCTTTTTTCCTTTCAAATCTCCTGCAAGTGCTTCACTTACTTATATGCAGCACTGGCTTTTCTTTTTTCCGTAAACCTATTCAAACTCAAGTCTTCATTACATGTCCCAGTTCCAGCTAGCCCTCCAGCATCTTTCCATTCAGACGGATGGAAAGTACATCATCTTCTCATGTTGACTCAGTCTATAAATGCGGGGCCAGCAATTTCCCATCGAAAGCCCACACCCCGACCTGAAGAAATGGAGCCAACGGCCATCTTATTTCCTCACCACTGCACCTGTTCTGTACCTCTATAGCGTTGATGCAGCACAAGAAACGGGGATGAGCATGTGAGGCATTGGTGGGATTAAGGTGGTGGTGCCTACACAGAGTCGCGGGAGAGGACTGGTATATCTGGGAGGGAGAGAATGCAGCCTATGTAAGCCCTTCAGAAAACAGCCAGGCAACGGCGTTGCTTCCCCTTCGCTGTGACAAATCAAAGCACCTGCCAAGCACCCAGGTAAGGATCAGCATCCACGTGGCCTGGAATCCCACAGCCTCCCCTGGCATCTGTTCAGCCTCAGGATTGGGTTCCACACTAGTCTCTCGGGTTAGATTTAGTTCCAGAACTCCTGGACACTTTTTCCCAAAGTAGGTTCTCCCTTGGGATTCAAGCTGCAAGTTCATAAGGAAGGGAGACGGCACTTGTGGCCAGCAAAGTATGAGGAAGCCAGGCAAAAAAAAAAACAAAAACATCTTCATGGAGCGAGCAAAAGGAAGCACTTGCAACTGAGGATGCTCCGGAGCCCAGGATCTTGCCCAACAAGTGAAAAATAACAGGTGACATTGGCTTCACCAGGCTTTAAGGGTCATCCAAATAAAAAGTCAACAATAAACAACCAAATCACCTAAAGCCACAAATAAGATCTAAGAAAAGGGAGGGTACAAAGTCCACGCTTGTGATCACTTCTGCTGAGATGGCATGATCCATAAGGATCACAAAGGGCTGCATCTGGGCTTCCCCTGGGCAGATATTCTTACGGCAGTGAGATGCAGGTCAAATGGCGAAGAAGAAAGACATCAATATCTTTGAGAAAGATGTGGTCAGGAGGAAGAAGGAAAACGTAGTCTTCGTACCTCCAGGGAGGTAGTTATTCCTCCCTGTTCTCCAATGCCAGGCTCTGGAAATCACTGCTGTCTACTGTCCCAGTGTTCATGAACCTAAGCTGTCAGCCGGCCCCTGTGCCTTCCGATGGTGGATGTGGTGGCTGCTTGGGCCCCGTGTATTCAGCTCAGTTGCTGGCTCCTTTCCAGGCTCACTGGCCACTTGCCCTTAAGAGTTTGATAAAGCACCTGGAAACAAAAGCCCACCTGCTAGCAGTTATCAGAGACTGCCCTTGCAGAACAGACCAAGCCAACAACCAGCCTTTTTTCCTTCTTTCACTAATTGCTGACTTTGATCAATCTGAAAGTCAGTAGCTGCTATAAGTAACCTTCTGCCCACTTTAACCTCCAAAGTATGTACTGTTCAGAGCTTCTGACTTGTTCTCCAACCAAGTCTGCTTATTTTTTGGCAAGGATAGGATGAAGCCTATTGCCCCCCAAGACAGATAGGCTGGGCTGGGCACTATCTACTCCTAGTGGGGTTTATACGCAGGATTTATCTTGTACATACACAGTTCTTTGAAGCTAAATTCAATGCTTTCATCTTGACTACAAAGTGGTTCCAACAACTCCAGCTGAGGGAAAAGACAAGATACAAATTGGGCCCATACTACACATAATTTTCAAGTCTCGTTAAGGAAGTAAAAAAATTTGGAGTATATTTTGATCCATGGGTGGCATTTTCAAGTGTGCAAAACTGAAAAAAGCCTTGGAAGAGAGTCCTTCGTGCTATAAAGTCTGTCCTTCCTTTTGCCATCAGCTGTATTTCAGAGTAATTCATCCACAACATCATGGAATCCAAAAAGGGTAAACCAAAGGGATTGAAAAAGAGTCCCTTACAAAGAATAAGAACCCCTGTAACATCTATATCTGAGAATACTATATAAACCAGCGAGTAGACGTGGCACCAGGAGCTACTCACCACATTACCAAAAACAAAAACAAGAGACCTAACTGGCAGGATGGCGCCATCTGCTTGAAAATAGCTAACCAACCAAGACTGCCACCTAGAGGCAGTCTGCCTCTGACAGATGGGTGACTCTGAACACTTCTGAAGTCTGACTGTGTTCTGCGAGAGCGCCCCAGAGGTCGGGTGCTGTCCGCTGTCTGGTGGTAGAGCAAGATGCAGCGAGGAGAGCCTCAGCTCCTCCGTGGTTTCTGATCACCTGAAGGCCCCTTAGTCTATGGCTCCTGGGTGGATGCTGAGCACGGGGGGCTCCAGGCAAGTGGGGGAGTAGTTGAGGTGTGGTTCCTTGATCCACAACAGGGGCACCCCATTCTTCCCCTCGGAGTTCTTGCTGGAGTTCCGGCTCTTGAAGCGCACCAGCAGGATGGTGATGATAAGGATGCCAAAGATGGGGAAAGGGTAGAAGAAGACAAAGTAGAAGAGTGCGTCGTTGGAGCAGATGATGGACTGCAGGGTGGAACCTGAGAAGGACAGACAGGGAGACAAGACATGAGGGCTGAGAACCTGGACGGTTGCTCACTCCTGAAGACCCCACCCAGATCCACAGAAGTGACGTGGCAGAACTTCCATACCCACGCTATCTTTCCCCTCTTGCCTCTAATGGAGGGCGGACGACCCATGTACTCTTGTTCTCACACTCGTGTCTCTTTGCATTCATAGTTGGAAGTTCGAACAAAGCCAGGCCTCCATTTCCCACTGTGAGTCAGTATTACCACTTGGAAAGCCACATGAGAAAGTGTAATTTACTGATTGTGAGCTCAACTGTATCTGAGATGGCGAAGACGCTAGCTCCGCTTCAGCTTGAATCTCCTTGTTGGTTCTATTTTACATGTCCCTTTGTATTTGGTTCTGTTGCCAATGTCCCTCTTTGGGATAGAACACATTCTCTACCTACCAGCTTCTGAGAGCAGTTTTACCAGAAATGATGGTTATTTGATTAATGTTACCAATTAAAAAGTCATTATGGCCCACTTACACATGTCTGCAGTGTATCTGTGGCTGCATAGAATGCAGTGTTAGTTGTTCCTGGATACAGAGGAGAATGAAACCTCACAATTCCCACCCCATCAAGGACTGCTCTGGACTGGAGCCTGGGCTCTAGGAGACTGCATTTTCTCTGTAAAATAAGGCTACTGGATGATCTCTGGGTTCTATAAAGCTTACTAAATTTGGATAGCCACAGTGGGCAGATAAAATACAGTCTGAACACTTTCCCTTGTACTTTTGGACAGTGGGTTATTCAGCGGATCTTCAGAGTAAAGTACGATTCAGGGGGTTGGGTGGTTTTTTTTTTTTTTTCTTTCTACTGAATAGCTGCTGTTCATCATTATTAAGAAAATGTAATACACACTTACATGTATCAGATTTCCAAAGTATATGAGACTGGTGATATCAGCCACTTTTGACCAATGAAACCTCAATTTCATAACTTCTATCTAATAAACAGGAAGTTATCAAAGAAAGGAAAAAGCTGATGAAACTCAAAATTATCTGACAAAACTCAGAATTATCTGATACAATGTCATGCTGGGAAAAAAAGCTGAAATTTCTAGCCTGTTTTTTAACTTCTACATCACAGGCTAATTCTACTGTAACAAACACCATTTTAGATTGATCAGTTCCATATTTTGACAGAAGCTCACTCAAAAGAGTTCCTCATTAGAACCAATAATTCAGGTCAGTATGATGGAAGCGTTGAGTTCTGGACCATTCTGTAGCAACAGCTGCTGGATAATAGAACTGTTGCTAAGCTCTTACCAGATGTCCTGTAACATCACTGCCCTTCTAGGCTGGTCTTCCCAACTAATCTTGCAAAATCCACTTAATCCTCCACCTCACCCTCCAAAATAAAAATGACCCAGGAACTTGAGAAAAAGCAAGAAGGCAGTGAGGTACTCAGACTTCATTTTCTTTTCTTCTTCCCCTTATGTTGCTGATGTGCTAAAAAGAGACTAACTTGGATATTCTAATGAGTCACAAGGTAACATCTAACAATATACCTGTACGTGGTTGTTGTTGTTCAGTTGCTAAGTCATGTCTGACTCTGCAACTCCATGAACTGCAGCACAGAGGCTTCCCTGTCTTTCACTATCTCCTGGAGTTTGTGCAAAAACTCATGTCTATTGAGTCAGTGATGCTATCCAACCATTTCATCCTCTGCTGCCCCCTTCTCTTCCTGTCTTCAGTCTTTCCCAACATCAGGGTCTTTTCCAATGAGTCAGTTCTTCACATCAGGTGGCCAAAGTATTGGAGCTACAGCTTCAGCATCAGTCCTTCCAGTGAATATTCAGGGTTGACTTCCTTAAGGATTGACTGGTTTGATCTCCTTGCTGTCCAAGGGACTCTCAATTTGAGTCTTCTCCAGCGCCACCGTTCAAAAGCATCAATTCTTCGGCACTCAGCCTTCTTTACGGTACAAGAAAAATCAGAGCTTTTTCTCTCATCCGTACATGACTACTGGAAAAACCGTAGTTTTGACTATACGGACTTTCATCAGCAAAGTGATGTCTCTGCTTTTTAACACACTGTCTAGGTTTGTCAGCTTTTCTTCCAAGGAGCAAGCGTCTTTTAATTTCGTGGCTGCAGTCACTGTCTGTAGTGGTTTTGGAGCCCAAGAAGATAAAATCTGTCACTGTTTCCCCCTTTTCCCCATCTACTTACCATGAAGTGATGGGACCAGATACCATGATCTGTTTTTTGCATGTTGAGTTTTAAGCCAACTTTTTCATTCTCCCCTTTCACCCTCATCAAATATATACACATATAATGAAATCTAACTAAAATTTAATCAGATGGAGCATCAACTTTATTATAAAGATTAGAGGGTATATGATCACTTTAATTCCTATCCCCATTTTTTTTCTTTTGCTAGGTCAATCAAGAGTCAGTTACTAAACTGGTATGTCAAATCTAAACTGGTATGTTTCTTGCCCGTAACAGGCAAGAAAACTGCTGAGCAGTCCCCCATCAAGCTCTGATTTTTCTTCCAGACAGCTAGAATCAACAGTGACCCCTTCCCCTGGAAACTGAAAAAACTTACTCGTGTCCAGAACGTGGATGCCGACGGGGGCTGACTCCTCCTCGGTCAGCCGGTACCACTCCTTTTGAGGGCTGGGAAGCCACTCCTCCACGCGGCAGGAGTAGTTACCTGAGTCCTGGGGGCTGGCCTGCAGCACGGTGAGCCGGTAGAGGAGTGGGGAAAGCATCTGGAAGCGAAGCCTGCCCTCCCAGGGGCTGCCCTCTGGGCCAAAGACGGCATCTGCGCCCACACTCAGCAGAGTGGTCCGCTCTGTGGGGTCCTCTTCCTCCTCTTCATCCACCTCCACTTCCTCGTCCTCCTCCTCCCCATCTTCTGGGCCAGGGCTACCCCTTTTTCCTCCAACTTTAGTCCTCAGGGAGTACCAGGCCACGGCGAAGCGGGAGTCCTGGCTGGAGCGAGACACAATGCTACAGTCCAGCTGGAAAGCTGCCTTCTCGAACACCGTGGCGTTGGGGACCACTGTGTCCACCTGCAGGGCAGCATCTGGGGGAGATGAGGCTGTTTTAATTTCTGCTCAAAACAACTACGTGTTCACCATTAAATATGTTCTAGGAATACAGTCACATATAAGAGAGTTCCATGCATCTATTGAAAGGAATGCGGGGCATTGTGTATAGAGAGGAGGAAGGAAATTCAAGAAAAATTGTTAGAGTACAGAACACTGTGTACTCCACATATCTCTCTGCAGAAGAAACTGTGTGTCCGTGCTCAGATGCTCAGTTGTGTCTGACTCTTTGTGACCCCACGGACTGTAGCCTGCCAGGCTCCTCTGTCCATGGGATTTCCCAAGCAAGAATACTGCAGTGAGTTGCCATTTCCTGCTCCAGGGGGATCTTCTTGACCCAGGGATCACACCCGCATTCTCTTGAATCTCCTGCCAGTTTACCACTAGCACCACCTGGGAAGCCCCGTGGAAGAAAATAGAAAATACGTTTTATTCTGTTTATATTTGCTTGGAATACCTGTGGAAGAATTCACAAGGAGCTGGTAACATGGGCACATTTTTCACTGTGACCCCTTGTAGTGGTTGAATAGTGTTCCGCCCAAAGTCATGTCCATCTGGATTCTCTGAATTTCCTTAATTGGAAATAGGGTCTTTGCAGATATACTTAGTGCAAGATGTGCTCATAACTGATTTGGGGCAGGCCTACATATCAGGAGAGAAGAGGGCACAGAGAGACACATGGAGAAGGACATAGAAAGGCAGAGACAGACTGGAATGATGTAGCCACAAGCCAGGGAACACGGGGCCATGAGAAGCTGAAAGTGACAAGGAAGGACTTTTCCCTTCAGGAGCAGAGCCCTGATAACACCTTGATTTCACCTTTCCAGCCTCCACAACTATGAAAGAACAGATTTCTGTTGTTTGAAGCTACAAAGTTTGTGCTACTCTGTTATGGCGGCCCTTGGAAATGAATTCACCCCTTAGCCGCTTTTGAATTTAAACTGTGTGCATGTCGGTTGTTGGCTACAGCACAGGAAACCCAAGGAGGTAAACATTCTCCAAGGATTGAAGCCAAGCAACAGACAATAAACCTGAAAGGGCTCCTTACCCCAAGTATGGAATCCCCAGGAGGATAACATGGACAGTGTCCTCTCAATGGAGGTGGGAGATGCAGTCTAACCACTGAGAGATAACTGAACAAGTAAGTCGTATCCCACAGATGCCACCAGACGGCTCTATCTGTTTCTTTTGCAGGTTTGAACTCTCTACAGTAGGTTCTAAACAAGTAATTCACTCCCTTCCTCCTCCCTTTGGCTCTGTTTATGAAATGTTCATGCAAGATGCCAATGTAGCATCAACAAAAATAGACCGAATCAGATTCTACTTGGATGACAACCAAATAGGAGCCTTTCCCAAGTACTGTCCTGGGCTTTCAATGAATTGGCTGAATTGGCTTGCAGGTGAATACAACACTGGTTGCCGCCACTTCCCTGGGGCTCTGCTAAAGCCCCTCCACATTCCCCTCTGCACATCTAGAATCTCGTGTGCACCACTGAACACAAAGCTTAGGAACCAGCTATAGGTGGTGGGCACGGCGCATAAACCCAGCTATCACCAGGGATGAGTTGTGGGGCGGGGTGGGGGGGGGGTGATGATGGTGATGCTGGAGGGGCCAGAGGGCAGAAAGTGGCAGGACAGGAAATCGGTTTGCAGGCAACTCAAGGGGTCTCACTCATCAGCTTATCCCTCCAGGGGACACAGCTGATGAGCCGACAGAGAAAGGCTGTGCTGGCCCGAGTAAGGCATTGGACCCATCCCGGCAAGGTGGTCAGGGGCTGTGAACATTCAGTTCCCCAGAAGGGCCTCTTCCATCTAGTCTCCCTTTCTGTCTTCTAGTCTAAGGCTCACAACTTCTCAGAGCCCCTTCAAGGGGCTTCCCTGGTAGCTCAGAAGGTGAAGAATCTACCTGCAATGCAGGAGACCCAGGTTTGATCCTTGGGTCGGGAAGATCCTCTGGAGAAGAGAATGGTGACCCACTCTAGTATTTTGCCTGGAGAATCCCATGGACAGAGGAGCCTGGAGGGGACTAACACTCAAGTACCCTGTCTACGTTAATCACTCAACACAAGTTTTTTGAATAAAATTAATCTTCACCTTCCCACAAGCCCAGTCCCCTTAACATCCCTCTCTACCAATTTGGTTTTCTGCATCTGTCCCCTTCTAGAAGAGGCAGAACCATCTCCCTGGTCAGCCTTTAACACTCTTTCCTTACTTTCCCATGTTTAAACTATAAGAAAAAAGTTTGTTCCTGCCCCTCCCAGAGGTCATGCTGATACTTCCAGGCTGTGACCTAGACCAGTGATTCTGGTCTGTAGTGCCCCTTGTCGGGGAGGAATGTGGTTTCCCCTCTCCTCTGGTGAACCAAACACAACTATGAATCTATTCAGTGATAGTCCCACCCTAAGTTCCTTCAGTTTCCATATTTCATAAGCAATGCAAGGAGACATAAAGAATCTTAGGCAAGCAATAAAAATGGTGGTCATGAAATGCTTTCAGTGACATGGGGAAAGGCTCACAAAAGAATGCTGGGAGGAGCGGGGTATCACATAAAACAGTAAGATGCTGACTTCAGTTAGAGAGAGAGACACAGAGGGAATATGAAGATATGTTGTTCTTTACTTGCTAAGTTGTGTCTGACTCTTTGGGACCCCATGGTCTGTAGCCCACCAGGCTCCTCTGTCAATGGAATTCTCCAGGCAAGAATATTGGAGTGGGTGGCCATTTCTTTCTCCAGAGGATTTTCCCAACCCAGGGATTGAACCTGCATCTTCTGCCTTGGGAGGCAGGTTCCTTACCACTGAGCCACCAGGGAAATCCATGAAGATATACAGCCAGTGAGATTACAGCCTTTTTTTCTTGGCCACACCACAGGGCAGGATCTCAGTTCCCCCACCAGGTATCGAACCAGCGCCCCCCCCTGCAGTAGAAGCTTGGAGACTTAACCACTGGACTGCCAAGGAAGTCCCTACAGATAATTTTTTATTTCAAAACTGTATTTTTCTGTTTTCCAAACGCTTTGTTATTAGTATGATCACCTTATATAATCAGAGAAGGAAGGGAGGTAGGCAGGCAGGCAGGCAGACAGCTGGTTGATCCAGGCTACTCAACTGGCTAAACAGGAGGCAGACTCGAAGCTGCAGATTTAGGGGCCACACTGTGAGCACCCAAGGACACCTGGGCACCAACCACTCGGTCTGCTCAACACACTGGCAGTGCTGACACTTCTCTTTAGGCTTCGGTTCTCTTCAGAGTAAAACCTACACTCAGGGCCCTGGCGAGGACTGAACATGAACTGCTCCCCTGTGGCTGGGAGGGATGCAGCTGGCTGCCTCCTCCCACGCTGCCTGGGGCCTCATGTGGGGATCTACAAAATGGGTGGGAGGAGGAGGGAGATGGTGTTCAGCTGCTCTATCTACCATTTGTCTTTGGGGAAAGACATGCAGCACATTCAAGGCAAGGGGGAAAGGGGAAGAAAGCCCATGGGAGATACATCTCAGAGCAGAGGCAATTCCCTCTCCAGCTTAGGTAAGACAGGAGGACAGAGATAATGTCCCTCTCCTGTAACAAAGGCTGTATCTGCTCGCTGAAGTGTGTGCCATGATGTGTGGGGCGGGCATAACCGTGAGGCTCCAGGATTCCACCAACAAAAAGAGCTGCTCTACTTAGATGTGAAAACATTATGAAAGCTTCCATCAGCACCAGTGACCACAAGCAGAACCCTGGGATGCTCAGAACAAAAGACAAAACATTCCTCTGGATACAGGTCCCAGTGCATTTCTGTCCCATGTCCTTCAGGGCACTGTCCTTAACTGACCTGTGGTCTGATAGGGGTGAGTGATGACATGGCATTTCAGAGGACACAGGAATCCTACACGTCTTTGCTTTAATTATGTGTTTGGATATGGAACAATAATTCTACCCAGTAATTATGCACATTTGGGTACTTTAGAACCAACAATAAAGAAAAGCATGAGGCTGCAGAGAATAGTCATTAGCACCAATAAAATTATTAGGAAGTGAGAGTGTAAAGGCTGCAGCTACTTCATTTTCTATTTAAATCATGTGAATCAATTCTTTTCCACTGAAAATCCACAAACTGAATTTTCAGAACCACAAGATTATACTGTTTCAAGATTTTCGCCACTTGTCTGAATCTGAATGTATTCTTTGAAAAGAAAATATTCTACTCTGTATCTGGGCTTCCCTGTGGCTCAATAAGTAAAGAATCCACTTGCCATGCAGGAGACTGCCTACAATGAGGGTTCGATCCCTGGGTCAGGAAGATCCCCTGGAAAAGAAAATGGCAACCCACTCCAGTATTCTTGCCTAGAAAATCCCATGGACAGAGACGCCTGGTGGACTGCAGTCCACGGGGTCACAAGAGTCGGACATAACTGAAGCAATTGAGCACTGTTCTGTATAACAGGCTCTAGGCTGATCCACTTCACCAGAACTGACTCAAATGAAGTAAGTCAGAAAGAGGAAAACAAGTATCATGTATCAACACACATATATGGAATCTAGAAAAATGGCACTGATGAACCTATTTGCAGGGCAGAAATAGAGATGAGACCTAGAGAACAGACTTCGGACACAGTGGGGAAATAAGAGGGTAGAACGAATTGAGAGAGTAACATTGAACCTACATTACCATATGTAAAACAGATAAGCTAATGGGAAATTGCTATATACCACCGGGAGCTCAAGCCAGTGAAACCTAGAGGGGAGGGATGGGTGGCGGGTAGGAGGGAGGTTCAAGAGGGCGGGAACATATGTATACCTGTGGCTGATACACACTGATGTATGGCAGAAGCCAACACAATATTGTAAAGCAATTATCCTCCAATTAAAAATAAATTTTAAAAAATATTCCAGGCTCTGGAGTAAGTGACAAATATTATTCTAGTTAAGAAATGGAATCATCTTAGGCCAAAGCCAGATGTGTAGTTTTTCACTCACTAGGGGAAAAAAAAAGATCTCAGACACTTGTGAATGCAAATGTAATGCTCATACATTTAACTGCAAGTAACTAATTAATTGTATGAATTTAATTAACAATGGGTTCCTTTTGAAATTAATGTTATGCAGCGCAGAAAACAGCACAGTCAGAGGGGAAGCACCGAAGGGAGGGGAGGCCTGGGGAGCTTAACCCTCACCTGGGCGAGTGACGCGAACAGCCGTCTGGCCGGCGGTGTCCTCGGCCCGTTTGTACCACGTGCCACTGGGGCTGGGCAACCACTCCTCCACACGGCAGCTGTAGGTGCCGCTGTCCTGCACCGCCACGTTCTGGATGAAGAGCCGGTACACGCCAGGGGACGGGCTCTCCAAGTGCAGCCGGCCCTTCAGGTTGTTCTTGGCCGCCTGCTCTCCGTAGTGGAAGGTGGCATCGCGACTCAGGCGGGCCACGGTCTCCCGCTCTGGCTGGTTGGGCTTCCACACAAACCACTCCAGCAGCAGCTGCGAGGCCGCACTCGTGCGGTTCAGGACCACGCACTCCAGCTGCACCTGCCGCGTCTCCAGGACTGACAGGTTGCCCTGCGCTTGGCTGAGCTTCAGGCGGCTGTCTGCAAAGGTGAAGAAAGAGATGTCACCAACAGGGAAACAACGAGCCACTTGCACGCAACCCTTTCCAGCGGATGTGAGTGCATGCCTTCTTCCAAAGACAGGAGGACAGCGGCATGCTCGAGCGTGCACCCCGAACACTCTGAGCTCTTGATCATGGGTCTGAGTTCCCGAGTTTCAAGGAGTTTGGTGTTACAGTAGCAGCTGCCCCCTAATTTATAACACTCATAGATTCAGATGCTTAGGAGAGGACAGGCATGCACAGTAGATGACTCCATGTCCAACTGACAGCAGACCATGAGGAGCGTGGCCAACTGGACGGGCGGCAGGGCAGAAGTGGAAAAGGCATGGTGAGAACCCTTCTGGAAGTTACAGCAAATTTTTAAAACTGACCACATTATGGCTAGAATATGCTGAGCCATCAACCTCAGAAGAATAGCAGGGGAAAGCCAGTTTAATATGTACACCAGTTGGTCCTAAGAATTGCAGTTCTTACTTTCTCGACCAAAAAAACAAAAACCAAAAAACCATAAGGGTTTCCTCTCAAGATAGGAGCAGAACTGATCTAACATCAGTAAAGAAAAGACTGATATTGATGGTGGTTTGAAATCTCAGCCAATCGAATTGTTCTCCAGAGAAAAAGGTCATTAAACATGGTGTGCTTTGATGGCATCCTTGCAATTTCCAAAGGGCCCAAAGAACCTCTTTGGACTAGAGGAGTTAAAAAGCTATGAACTGTAAATGCACAGAAGGCCCTGGAAAGAACACCTCCTGAGTCAGGGAGGGGGAGGAACTTTCACTTTTCCACTTCAACATTGTCACAATATTTTACAGTGCACGTTTATTCCACTTTTGTAATAAAAGGTAAAAAAATTTAAAAAAAACTGAGATTATATTTTAAATAACCAATCTCTGAAAATATATACATACTCTGGTTGTCTCAGAGTGGAAAGATTATTTTCTCCTTTGTGCTTTTTTAGTATTTTCCAAAAGTTCTATGAGTGTATGCTTTCTTATTAAAGGGGGTAGGGGGTACTCGAAGAAGTAGGGGAGTGGAAAAAAAGAAAAACATATAAACTAAAAATCTCAACTGGGGACTTCCCTGGCCGTCCAGTGGTAAAGATTTCACCTTCCAGTGCAGGGGGTGCAGGTTCAATCCCTGGTTGAGGAGCTAAGTAAGACTCACATGCCTCACGACCGAACAACAAGAATGTAAACAACAAAAACAATACTGTAAGAAATTCAATAAAGACTTCAAAAATGGTCCACACCAAAAAAAAATTTTTTTTTAATCTCAACTGAAAAAGGGGAATGTGTTGTTTTAATCTGTGTCCTGTGAGTTTTCTGTTTATAGTGTTAATATTCCCCATAAACAGAGATTTCACTTGCTGTGTTTTGACAAGGATCCTTCCAGCCCTGGTGCCCCAGTTAGCTTGCTGCTGAGAGTCTGTAATCCCCAACAGGGAAATTCCCTTGATAAATTTAGGCTCTACCAAGAATTTCTCAGTTTCAGCACAAATGAGAAAAGGGAAAGGCGGAATGATGACTAAGAGGAAACACGTGGCGGGGGAGGGGTAAACAGGACCTCCCCACGGGGAAAATGGTCAGAACTGAAAACAGATGCGAAGAACAGAAACCCAAGAGAACATCTGTGGGCCTAATGGCAATCTTCAGTTCTCAAAAGCCCCAGGGCTTCAGGGACTGGCCTGAAGGCAGGGCGTAGGTCACTGGAAATACCAACAGGAATCATTTAGACCAGAGCTTCCCGTTTTATGCCTTCAGGACCATGAGGCAGACAAGAATCTCAGGGTCGGGGTGGCATGAGAAATGCAGTATCCTGAGGAAAGGAGGACACCAGTCCCATGGTATTCAGCCTGGGCCAGGCCACATCTGGACTTCTGCACCTGCTTCCATTTGCTTCCAGAACAAACTTTTACGGAGGTCTCCTGGGAGACAAGCCGTGAGAATAGCACGGTGAGGAAAACAGGACCTGTGCTGACTCATGGGGCTTCCTGCCTGGTGACTGTGAATATATAAATAGTGAACAAGTAACACATAATAACTGATGATAAACGAATGTCCACATACGAACAGGTAGTTCATAATGACTTATATACAAAGAGCTGTTCCAGGTGGAGACGTGCTGTGAAGAGGCTGGAGAAAGGAGCAAGGAGAGATCGTTGCTGTTGTTCAGCTGCTAAGTCGTGTCAGACTCTTTGTGATCCCATGTTCTGCAGCACACCAGGATTCCCTGTCCTTCACTGTCTCATGTTTCATGTGCAAACATGAGTTTGCTCAAACTCATGTCCATTGTGTCAATGATGCCATCCAACCATCTCATCCTTTGTCGTCCCCTTCTCCCCCTGCCCTCAATCTTTCCCAGCATCAGGGCCTTTTCCAATGAGTGATTAGGGGGCCATTTTAGTTAAAATGAGCTAGGAATGTTTCTCTGAGGAAAAATGAGATAGATGGACATCTATGGTTAACATGTTCTAGAGTAAGAGAATAACAAGTACAAAGGCCCTGGGGTGTCAGGGAAAGCAACCATTCATTTCTTATTCAACCAGTATTTACTAAGGGTGTCATGCCAGTGGCTGGAGATCCAAAGTCAGAGTACCTGTCCTCTAAGTGCTTACAGTATAGTGGAGAAGAAACGAAAACAATTATTATACTATGCATTTTCTATGGAACCCCTGGTGACATAGGAGAAACCAGGGAAGGCTTCTTCCAGGAAGAAGGCTTCCTGGAAGAGGTGTCTTTAGGAATGGGGTAAAGACAGGGGAGAAGCGTCAGGGGAGGTGGCCTCCAGGAGACAGCAGCATAAGCAAAGGCATAGGGTGGCAACACAGCATCCCACAGCCCATCGGGAAGCACAGGTAGTGGCAACAATGAACTATAGAGCACGCAGGAACGAGGGATGGAGAGGGAGCTTAAGGCCACGTTATGTGAGAAGCTCAAAGAACTAGAATTTTTCAACAAGGAGAAGGGGATCCCTTCACATATGTGAAAGGGTATGACTCAGACTAATCTTGGGTTGTTCTGGGGCAGACCTAACACCTGAGAGGGAAATTACAGGGAAGGGGACTTTCTGAGGACCAGGGCCACTCAAAAGTGGAACCAAGTGGGGCGGAAGCAGTCAGCGCTCCCTCCCTGGAACTGCTCCCGCAGAGGTCAGACACGGCTACCAGGGAGCAGAGTATAAACAGGATAAAGGCCACACTTACAGGATCTGAGAGGGGCCAAGGGGTGATTCGGTTCAGACAGGAAGGGCTCATTCCTGGGCTGGGACTGGGTGAAAAGGAAGAAGAGGGAAGCAGATGAAGGAAACCAGAAAATGCCTTCCAGGCAGGAATCCTGGGTATGGAGCTGGCACCAGCCCGAGATCCAGGCGCACCGGGGACCCTGACTTGCCGCACCTGGTGACCTCAAGCCATCCCTTGGGCTTTTCCCTGGTGAAGATGCTGTCCACAACAGCAGAGTTGAGAATGCTTCTCTGAGTTGGCCATCAGTACCAGGACCCATGTAAAGTGGGTGGGCCCACAGTGCACCAGGATGACACTCTGTGCCACACGTATGTCCAGCATGAACCCTGCAGAGCCCTGCCACCCCCAGGCAGTCTCTCTGTGCTCAGCCCACTGCCCGGGCTGCCTGCATGCCTGCTCTTACCTGGCTGCTTCACAGTGACCTCCGTACGCCCGGAAACCTCCTCTGCCAGCTTGTACCAGGCATAGTTGGGGCTCAGCAGCCACTCTTCCACATGGCAGTAGTAGCTGCCGCTGTCGCTGACCTCGGCTCTCTGGACAGTGAGGCTGAACAGACCCCCGGACACGTGCCTCTCAAACTGCAGCCTGGCTCTCAGGCCCTCCTCCTCGGCATAGGTGCCATACTCAAAGGCGGAGTTGTGGGTGGTTTTGAGGATGAGCTTGCCGTCGGCGTCCGAGGGCTTGTGGACATACCAGAGCACAGCGAAGTGGGAGTTCTGGCTGGTCTGGGACTTGACTGAGCAGTTCAGCTGGATGGGCCTGTTTTCCACCAGGGTGAGGGTCCGCTTTGATTTGCTCACCTGCAACTTTGTCACTGCAAAGCAAAAGGGGGCACTTTAGCAGAATCACCACATACTCCTGGAAATGTGGCCTGTCCTAGGTCCCACCTCCAGGTTCCCCATCCAGCACAGTTCCTAGAGGACCCAACACTGATGGGCTTCCCTCAAAGCATGGCTTGGCATAAGAAGAGCAGCACAGACCCCATCTCATCCCAAACAGCCTCTGCCTTGCCTCACCCCCAGCTCAGGTCCTCACTCTCTCCTGGTCTCCTGGCTGCTAACCCCATCACAGAGCCTCCAGGGAGATTTGGCAAACACACCTGCCCATAGCATTTTCCTGCTGAAGAAGTTTAACAGCTTCTAACTGCTCATATTGTTTAGAGTATGCCCGCTCCATGTCCCTCGTGAAGCTAAAAGTAGGGGTGCTCTAAAGAGTAAGATGGTCCTGCCTGGAGACGGTCTCATCACTGCACCCCCAGATTTGGGCTTCGGAGAGCACTCATTCACTCAATGTTTTCTGCGATACATTGTTGGTCCTTTAATGGACCAGAACCTGGTGGTACAGAGTCGACAATGAGATAGTGAAAGAAGAAAAGAGGCTAATATTCCCTGGGTTACACAGCCGGCCTTCGCGCTCCTGGGAATCAGCCAGAAATAGAGAAAGAGAGAGAAAGAAAGACAATCACGGGGACCCAAGCTCTGATGGAGCAAAGGTATTTTAATCAACATGGTGTGGGCATATATACTGTCTTACAAGGTAGTTATTCTCAGCAAAGATAAAGATTAAAATTCCAGACTTCCAAAACATAAAGCGATCCATATTAAAGTCAGAGAGTTGTAAACAATCACTTTTACTGCATGTTCATAAGAAGGAAGAGGGTACTTATCACCATAATGAAAAACTAACGAAGGAAATGCCTGGATTCCTCAGCCCCGGGAAAGGCTTGCCTTTCCTCTTAATTCCTGAATATTCAGGAATTAATAAGGAACAGAGGATTCCTGACAGATCCAAAAGAGCACACAGGGAGCCTCCTGTTAAATGCTACCTGACAATTCCCCCTATTTTATATTTGTAAAAAAAAAGGTCCTGACCAAATGAGTTTGGTTAGTATTAGCCAACCTTATAGAAAGGTGATGATAAACAACAAATATAATTATCAAGACAATCACCAAAGTTACAGTTCCAGACCCGATGCTGTGAGTAATACTTTGAAACCATCCTCACGGGTCTAGCCTGCATAATTTGTTCAGCTAAAGTTTCCAAATTAGTGGAAGAGGGCAGACATTTAGAAAAAGTTTTAAAGATTTTCTTTTGCAGTGACTGTACATTCAGAGAGGCATTATCATGTAAATGAAATTTGATTTGTTCCCAGTTGTAGGTACTATGATTGAAATGAATAGGAGTAACACAAAATTGGCAATTAATACAAGTTACAGAATGTAAAGTTTTATTAAATTGTAAATTTCCTATGACTATAACAAAAGGAAGTGGGACACAGGCCTGTATAAAATATGACTGATTATAGCGAAAAAAATAGTTACTATGACCACGACTGGTTCCTGTGAAATGTCCGGTCTAAGTCCCAAGTTCTTCGGAGCTGGCAGCAAGTTTCCATGTGTCCCATTGTTCAGGCCCAATTTGTTTATAGAGGATGATTTGAGGAGGAGGGGGTGCCATTCCACTGTCAAGCCAGCCAAGAAGTCCTTTGTCATGGTAATTTTTCATTAGTAACCCTTTACATAATATTTTTTGTTCTTTCCCTCTTTCCCTAAAGTTTCAGTAGTGTAAACATGGTTCACAGTAAACAACCCAAGCAATGCCCGAAGGTCTTCTTTTGGAGGCAGGACAAAAACCCAAGTTTGTCGGCTGACATTTATGCATAATTTCCCTGAGCCCAGGCACAATGGAAGGACTTCAAAGCCTCAGTTCAGTTCAGTTCAGTTGCTCAGTCGTGTCCGACTCTTTGCGACCCCATGAATCGCAGCATGCCAGGCCTCCCTGTCCATCACCAACTCCCGGAGTTTACTCAAACTCATGTCCATCGAGTCGGTGATGCCATCCAGCCATTTCATCCTCTGTCGTCCCCTTCTTCTGCCCCAAATCCCTCCCAGCATCAGGGTCTTTTCCAATGAGTCAACTCTTCACATGAGGTGGCCAAAGTATTGGCGTTTAAAGAAATGTTAATTAGTTTTCCCTCCTCCCCAGGGTGTGAGGGTTCCAGGGAGCGGGCATATGGGTGGAGTCATTGGTTGATAGGATCGGTCTTTTCTCCGTCCATTTTAGGACCTGTAATAAAGGGGGGTTGGGTAAGTAAACCCAGTTAAGTCTGATTTGTTAATCCGGCTTGAGCGGGGGTGGCACTGGTCAGCATAATGATAAGGTTTTCAGGACTCTGAGGCATTTCCTGTTGAGAAACCAGGTTTTTAACTTGATTAGTAAGGGTTTTTATTTGTTCCCAAGTGGGGAGATCATAGGGTTGATGTTGCTGAGGGTGGTGCTTTCTGGAGATCTTTAGAGCCAACATGGCCCATATTGGAATTTCTTCCTCCTAAGGTTCTTGTTGCTTCATCTCCATTTTGAATGCCGGGGGCCCCCTTGGGTCGAGTTTTCCGAGGAGAAAACCATGTGAGTTTGTTGGATCCATCTGGGGAAATATAAGCATATCCGTTTCCCTGTAAGATTAATTTCCCAGATTTCCATTGTTTATTGAACCCGTCTTGGTACCAAATGGGCAGAGGAAGAGAAGTGTCCTTCAATTCCTCGAAATGTCTTTCTGCCCTTGTTAAAACATTTCCCTGTGGTAGGTTTAAAAAATTTAAAATAAATAAAGCTGTATTAACAATAGTTATGGGTTTAGAAAATATCTTATGTTGGAATCTAGTAAAGTCTGCTTTAGATAAGGAAGACAGTAGTGTTCCTGTGTATTCCCCCTTTTAAATTTTTTTCATTTGTAACTTTAGATGTGTTCATTCGACTATGTCTTGTGTCTATGGATTATAAGGAATACCTGTAATATGTTTAATAGAAAAAGATTGTAAAAATTGTTTAAAGTGTCTAGAAATATAGGCAGGGCCACTGTCTGTTTTAATAGAGCTAGCTGTTCCCATTACAGCAAAACAGGCTAATAAGTGAGTGATAACATGCTGTGTAGCCTCACCTCGAAGAGGTGTGGCCCAGATAAAAGAAGAATTTGTATCGATACAGACATGTAGGAAAGAAGATGAAGAAAGTTCAGGGCAATGAGTTACATCCATTTGTCATAGTTCATTAGGTTGCAAACCGTGAGGATTAATACCTTGTGCGATGGGTCGAAGATGTAGGGGTCTACAAGTTGAGCAATTACTAATGATTTCTTTAGCCTGGCGGTATGGGATTTCTCATAGCTGGTATAGGCAGAGCAGATTGAAAATTAGTACAAAAGAGTTTATATCTTTAAGAAACCAGAATGAAGCTTTGGGGTTTTTAGTCCCATCTATATAAAAAACCTCAGCTTGTGGTATAGGCTGTGAGCTGATAATGTGGGAAATAATAAATTCAGTATTTTTGAAGAAATTTCACAGCTTACCAGAAGGATAATGAAATGAGCGCCACTTGTTGGTCCTTTAATGGACCGGAACTTGGTGGTCCGGAGTCGACGATGAGATAGTGAAGGAAGAAAAGAGGCTAATATTCCCTGGGTTACACAGCCGGCCTTCGCGCTCCCGGGAATCAGCCAGAAAGAGAGGAAGAAAGAAAGACAATCACGGGGACCCAAGCTCTGATGGAGCAAAGGTATTTTAATCAACATGGTGTGGGCATATATACTGTCTTACAAGGTAGTTATTCTCAGCAAAGATAAAGATTAAAATTCCAGACTTCCAAAACATAAGGCGATCCATATTAAAGTCAGAGAGTTGTAAACAATCACTTTTACTGCATGGTTCATAAGAAGGAAGAGGGTACTTATCACTGTATTAAAAAACTAACGAAGGAAATGCCTGGATTCCTCAGCCCAAGCCTTTCCTCTTAATTCCTGAATATTCAGGAATTAATAAGGAACAGAGGATTCCTGACAGATCCAAAAGAGCACACAGGAAGCCTCCTGTTAAATGCTACCTGACAATACATGAGTGAATGAGAGTGAGCTGGAAAAATATAGGAGCAGTTGGTGGGAGGATGCTGGGGCGCTCTTCCCAGGGGAGGGGGAAAGAGAAGGTGGAGAAGAAAATGATGAACAATGGGACAGAACAGAGCCAACTGCAGCCTCCCCTTCCCCTATCTCCTGATCTACTCTACCTAATTAATTACCGGGCTCTCCTTTAAAGTGGCAAGAAGCCACAGTCTAATGAAATATATCTTATGAAGGTAATTGGAGATCTTACCCACTTCATCATTACTATACTTGGCTCTGCCTCCCCTACTCACCATTCTCCCCTTATTGAAAAAGAGGGGGAAAAAAATCCCAATTCCGAGTTTCCCTTAGGAAGCTAAAAGTAAAAGCATCATTTTACCCTCACCCTTCTCTTTATACTTTGTGTATTGAGGACCAAATCAGCTAAGAAAGAAATTCAGGACAAGACACAGACCCTGGATAGGGACAGCAAGCTGGGCTTCCTCCAATGAGCCTGCCCAGAGGAAAGGCCAGGGCAGGTTGGCCTGGGGACTGTCTCCAGCATCCCTGCCAATCAGTCTCTTGATCCAGACACAGGACTGAGTCCACTGGTCATGCCTGGGTCTCTTCTGTCAGCTCCAGCCAGCTGGCTCTCTTAGAGCTTAGAGTGGAAAGGCAGGATCAAGGTCCAAGTCCCATGCCCCAAGGCAATTGAAACTTTTGAAACCTCCAAACTGTCACCTGGACACCTGGCTAAGCCACAGACAAAGGTTCTGAGTGATTGAAAGGATTTAGTAAGCTAAGTACAGCAGAGTCCGATGCACAATACCATGACTACAAAAGCAACTCTCAGGCTGTGTCTTCCAGTGCTAAATCAGGTGACACTCTTCACAAAGCCGAATTCACATACCTACAGACCTTCTCAAGGCATCAACACATGTGAC